TGATCCATTGATCCAGTCGACTAATCGCAAAAATAATCGGTGACTAGTCGACTATCAAAATAATGTTTGTGGCAGCCCTAATTGAGTGACTCTTATTTATTGTCTCCATCTCTGTCTTTCTGTTGAAACTTCACTAATTACTTCCTCTCGCTCCTCTGTTACTTTGTAGAAAACATACTGACAACAGCAGTGAAATCTGATCTGATGCTTGACAAACCGGTTTTGGCCTTGGAAGAAGAGCTGGCAGGAGATGGGGCGGAGAGATTGACTGCCTCCTGAGAGCAGGGGGGTTCAGAGGAGGCTCACCTGCTCAGATACCTGTGTGAAGACACATCCTTTTTTTTTTTTTTTTTTTTAATCGAGTACTGCTCAAATTTGACATCACTTCCTTCCAGCCTGCTAGAAGGAGATGCAAAGAGAAAAAGTAAATGTCCACTTCTGTGCTGATACGTTGATGTTTATTTTTGTAAATACACACTCATCCGTGCATCATATCCAGTCTGCCATACATGTGGTGCTTCTTTAGTTCTTAATATTGTATTAAATAATACACAGTTAGCATTTTAGCATTACTACCTGCTGTTTTGATCAGTTGTCCATACTGATGCTGTCAAGCTCTAAACTATTGGAATAATCATGAAAAGTGTATTCTGTCAAATATCCTGAGTCAATTCGAAATTAAATCAAAATAAATGTCGGTGTCACTAACCAAGAGTCTCATTTTCACAACTTCCCTAGAGCAAATTAGCAAACTTTCATTTCCAGCAGTAAAATAAGACGTTATTTCATATTCAACTGTAATGGTGATAAATGCTATTATTGCTATTATTACAGCACTTATAAAATTATTACTGCCCGTTTTTGTAAACATACATCACAGAGCGGAGGAAAAGCCAACCCCGACCCCACAAACCTCGTCGTCCTTCTCCACAACCAAACATTCCCCTCCTCTCCAACTCTCTGCGCTTACAGCTGACTCTGGATCAGCTTCCACACCCAGCTCTTCGCCAGCCGCCAACCCTTCTGCTGACAAACGTTACCCCAACAAACTGACCTGGGATCAGGATACGGCAACAAAGCTCCAGCAGTTTAAACTCTGCCCCCTTTTCCCTAAAACCCAGCCAACCTGTTGAGTGTCACGGAGTGCTGAAGGCAGGGTGTTGGCGCAGCGCGTGGAGAGAAGTCGCAGTTTCAGTGTCACGTATCCGTCCGCTCGTGAGAAATTTCCTCGTGATTTTCTTGTCGCTGCTAAACACAAAGGTAAGTGCCGAAACAAATACATTAGCTCACATTT